GAGAGAGAGAGAGAGAGAGAGAGAGAGAGAGAGAGAGAGAGAGAGAGAGAGAGAGAGAAGAAGAAGAAGAAGAAGAAGAAAGGCTTTTGGAGGAACGTGTGCGAAAATGGGGAGAATACTGGGGGAATGTGTGCGTGAGAATGGAAAGGATTTTGGAGAGATGTGTGTGTGAGAAACAGAGAAAAGGCTTTTTGTGAGAGAAGGAAAGAGTTGGGAATAAGAGAGGGAGGCAGGATCTCCCCCACAGGCAATGTAGAGCAACGTAGAGCTGGCCACACAGCCCCACTCCCCCCCCATTAACCAAAATGCTGATGCTGCCCTCAATGAAATCAAGTTCAACACGCGATATAAAAGGAGGGAAGGTATAAAAAAAGGAGGGGAAGAGAGGATATAAAAAGGAGGGGTGAGAAAATGAGTTTTGCCCCATTACAACTTTTCTTGCCACATATGCTAAGTGAATCACTACAGTTGTTAAATTAGTAACATGGTTGTTAAGTGAATCTAGTTTCCCCATTGACTTTGCTTGCCGAAAGGGAATCACATAACCCTGGGACACTGTGACCATCATAAATATAAATCAGTTGCCAAGCATATAAATGTACATCACATGACCCTGGGGATGCTGCAACAGTCATAAGTGTGAAAAATGGTCATAAGTCACTTTTTTCAGTGCCATTGTAACTTTGAAAAGTCACTAAGTGAACTTGTAAGTCGAGGACTACCTGTACTTTATTACTTTTTGGTCATCAAGTTTTTGACACCTTGCTAGGCAACTGGTTGTACTCGAATATTGCCATATCCTAAAAGTGATACAATTAGTAAGAAGGTGAAAAGCCCAGCTCTAATCCATGTGCAGGTCTTTCTATCTTGTCTTGTAATGCTGAGCATGTATCTTTCCATGGCTCTTTGTGTCACTCGAAGCTTTTGTGTTGACTGTGAGGTTACTGTCCATGTTTCTCCGACATATATTAGAACAGGTAGCACACACCGATTGAAAACTTCTTTTCAGGCATAGGGGGAAGATTGTTCTTGAAAATTATGCTTAGCTCACCGAATGCCTGCCAACCATATTTAACACACCAATTTCCTTTATTGTATCATCTTCTATTGAGATCCATTGACCAAGGTATATATAGTGGTCTACTACATCTAGTTTTTCTCCAGATATAATTTTTCTTTCTTTGGTGAATTTATTAAACATAACCTGGCTTTTTCAGGTTTAATTTTAAGCCAAATGGTTTTCCTGCTTTCTGCAGCTCTTGTATGTGTCTTTGTAACTCTTCTGCATTTAGAGAATATCATCTGCAAATCTTAAATGACTTAAATAGATGCCATTGATTTTTATTCCATCTTTTGCCCAGTCTAGTTTGCAAAATACTTCAAGGAAAGCCGAGAAAAGGTGATATTGGTGATATTGCATCACCTCGTACACCCTCATTCTGTTGATTTCCATTTTAAAATCAAGGCATTGTCACCATTTTTTCATGTATTAATTGTAATAAATTTATGTTAGTATCTATGCCTTGGTTGAGCAATTAACTATTGCTTGAATACTTGTAATATAAAACAATACATTATATTATTATAATGATATAATACTTATAATGTACTTTACATTAATTTGGGTATCTTCAAATGAGCCTTGACTTCTAGTACCTGGACCAGTCCATGCCATTTTCTTTGCAACAGTCAAAGTTATCTGCAGTTTGCTTCCTTCCTAGGGCTGACTATGAATGATTGGCCCATTTGGCTGGCTTTATGCCTAGATTAGGACTAGAATGTACAGCCTTCTGGTTTCTAGCATGGTGCCTCAACTAAGCCAAACTAGCCCTCAATCAGTATTTACACATGTATAGAACTGGGCAGACAAAGAATGACTAACACTATTGTGAATATTCAACATTTAAATAGAAAAACAGACATAAAACTGGTTATAGATCCCAATACTTGGAACATTTTAGTTAATTTTTTAGATGTAAACAAAACATCTACTACATAATTTGTATTAATAATGTAAATGATATTGCTATTTCATTATTAATTTTTAAAAATCATTTCAGTATCTCAAAATAAAAATATTAATTAGACTAACCTCCTGGTCCCCCTCCATATCCATTGTATCCATCACCAAATCCACGACCACCTCCATAGCCATCTGTGGAAGAAACTATTTCTAAGTTAGTTTCATTATGAGTCAAATCCTTATAAAACAATGTTCAAATATGCAATGGAAGATATTAGGCAGTGAGTGGTTTTCTGACTTACCAGATCCACCTCTGAAGTTGCTTCCTGGTCCTGGACCAAAGTTTCCACCGCCTCCACGTGAATCTCCAAAGCCAAAATTACCTGAAAATATATTTTAACAAATTACCACTATTATTATTTTAAAAAATAACTAACTTAAATATAATGCAATTCAAACATACCTCCCCTTCCACTCCTTGAACTCTGAACTTCTTGCATTTCTTGCCGTGATAAAGCCTTTCTTACTTCTGCATTATGTCCATTGATTGTGTGGTATTTCTGCACTGTTAAAATATAAAATTTTAGGAACACAATAAAAACTTCAACTTAACTTTACATAGTAAACAAGCTTATTAGCAAAATGGAAATGAACTGTAATCAGAAGATGCAATTCAATTGTATCACCGGTTACAACATCAAGGGTGAAGAGCTGTTTGAAATAATTGCAGGAAGGATGAGAAATCTCATTTCAAGAATGGTGGGTCTATCATTCTACCCCTATATGTTAATCTACCCACTATATGTTAATTTTACAATTATTCAGTCAAAACTTCAGTGGTTTTCATAAATAAGGTAGTAGGCATTTTTGCTGCAGTAATGATAAATTTGTTAGTATACTCTAACACGCAGCCAATATTTCTTCCGAAGTTTCAGAGCTTTATATATCAATTTGGATAGCTTCCGCAATTATGCAATCTTTGGCTGCTATTCCACTATTTTTCAAAATACAGATAGTCCTGTTTGAAACAATTTGCCTAAAGATCAAAGTTACAACAGCAATGAATAATGACTTATGATCTGTTTTCACTTATACTATTGCACTAGCTCCATGGTCACATAACCAAAAATTTGAATGCTTGGCAAATGTATCAATAGTCCTCGATTTTCAATAGCAATTGAGCTCAAAATTTTTGTTGCTAAGCAAGATTGCTATCAATGAGCTTTGACCCATTTTGATTTTTCTTGCCAGTTGTTAAATGAATCAATTTAGTTAAGTTAGTAACATGGTTAAGCCCCATCAATTCTCCAAATAGTAAAATATAGCCACTTTATCGAAACACTGCTCTTAAATGCTAACCAATTCATGTTAAGTGTTTCTTCTATTACTTACCTCTGATTGTTATCTATCTTTGCAAGGTAACAAATTTGTTTTCAGACTAACTAAAAATAACTACTAACAGTAATACAAACATAACTGGCTTCAATATTAACACACACACACACACACACACACACATTTCCCCAAAAATAATATCCGGACTTTTTTTTTGCCTCCAAAAAAGGCACCAGCATCAGGTTTTATTTTCAGGGGGTGTCTTTTCCATGGTCTCACCTCGCCGCCCCAGCAACAATAGCCCCAAGCAAGCCCACTTCTTCCAGAAATGCCTCTGCAGCCAAGAATTGAGCTACGGATTGAATCTATAGCTTGGTTCTCGGCTGCAGAGGCCTTTTTGGAAAGCCTCCGACAGTGAAATGCAGGCCGGAACTCAATTCTCAGCTGTAAAGGCATTTCTTTCAGCCTCAGAAGTGGGCCAGCAAGGCAAGTGTCGATTCATGGGAGGCCTGGCTGCAACAGTAAAGAGGTGCGGGGTACATGGGGCAGCTCCACCCCTGCCCTAGTTTGATTTTTAGGCATGCGCCTTGCCCCAAAACTAGGGCTTATTTTCGGGCTAGGTCTTACTTTTGGGAAAACACACACACATACAAATTTAACTGCAATCTCACATACTTTAAAATATTTCTGGATACTTACACACAATTTTATCCACAGGATCGTGGTCATCAAAAGTTACAAATCCAAAGCCTCTCTTTTTGCCAGATTGTCTGTCTGTAATTATTTCAATTGTGTCGATTTTTCCATATTCAGAAAAGTAGTCTCTGAGGTGATGTTCTTCAGTGTCTTCTTTAATTCCACCAACAAATAATTTTTTTACAGTAACATGAGCTCCAGGCTTCCCAGATTCCTTAAAAAACAGTATACTGAAACTTTTTAAAAACTGAAAAATGCTAAGTTAAGGGCAGACATCATCTTTCCCCCTGGGGACAATTAATAGTGTTATAAATTAAGGGGTTCTGATTATTGGATAAAGGTGAGAAATTTGAAAGTGATTTATTCCATGGACTTTGCAAATCAGGGATTTCATTGGTAAAGATCTGAAAAACATTTTGCATTCCAACCACATTAAAAAAATTTCAATTTCAAAGCAGCCTTGTTTCAAAGTCGGGACAGTGACAGTTCACATTGTTTGAAAAAAATGCAAAATAATTCTGGTCATGAATTGCCCTCACTGCTCTAAAATACCACTAAATGTCTTCCTAATATAATGAATTAGCACCTTTGTCACCATTACAACTCTATTTTTATTATTTTACTGAACATTGTATTCTTTAACTTAATTTCCATTTTCTTATCTAATGGATGTGATGATATGCAGTTCATCGACTACTGTTCTCCTATGAAGTATATTATCTACAGCTTGGAATCTAGCAACATCTGAAGGGCTTAAAATCTGCCCTATTTATTATGCTTTAAAAACCACTGCCTTTATAAAAGAGCACAGTAGAAAAGCATTTTGTAATGCTACCCCACAACTCAAAACGTACCTCTCTCGCTACAGCCCTTTTTGGTTCAACTACTCTTCCATCAATTGAATGAGGCCTGGCAGCCATTGCTGCATCGACTTCAGCCATAGATGAAAATGTTACAAAACCAAATCCCCGTGAGCGTTTGCTTGCAGGATCTCTCATTACCTACAAGATGACAAATTTAAAACAATCTTCTTGACTTATTGAAGTATTATTGACAGTCATTTCTAACATTTATACTATTTATCATTGATAAAACCACAATTCCACAATTTTTAAAAATGAAAATTGATTCACCCTCAATGTTTTAAATAAAACTATTTTAAATGAAAAACTCAGCAAAACTCAGATATTATATTCTACATTTCTGATTGTTTACAATAGATAAATTGTGTACACTTGCAAATCACTAGAAGTCTATTACCTCAAATTACTTCTTCAATAGTTACTTGGGTATTTATATTAAAATTACTGTTGTAAGAGCCTACATGAATATTGGGTATAAGCATCATTTTCAAGAGAAATTGTCTTTTTATAGCTCAAAATGTCACATAATATTCTTAAAGGTAACAAAGCATTTATACATGAGAGCCAGTTTGGCTTCTAGCCCTGCCTTGGGCAGGAAAATCAACTAGGATAACCCTGGACCACTCACTCACTCTCTAACCAATCCTACCTCACAGGGCTATGTTGTGGGGTAAATAGAAAGGAGGAATATTAGGTATGTTTGATTCCTTGAGTTACTTATAAAGAAAATCCAATAAATAAAATATATTTCATGAGCCCTGAATTTCTGTATTTGGCTTACCATCCTCTTTATTCTCAAAACTTGGCATAAGTACACAAATTGTTATTCTACAACCACAGGATTAGACAACCTAAATCAAATACTCAAAAAAAAATAACCATACAAACAAAACTTACCACACAATCTGTTAATTTTCCCCATTGCTCGTAGTAGTTTCTCAAACTTTCTTCTGTTGTTTCAAAGCTTAGGCCGCCAATGAATAGTTTGCGGAACTGCTCCTTTTCCCTCTGATTAAAAAAAAATCTGAAGTTTTACACCTTTCACAAAATTGGACTTTTTAAAAAAAATGTTGAGCAATGTAACTAAAAAACATAGGATAGTCTACATCATCTTGGGTGTTCTGTAAAGTTAATAACCTGAAATAATAATCTAAATTGTAAAGTAGATTGAATCTATGTTGAAAAGTAAATTGAATTGATCTGTTTTGGTTGGCAATCCATAGAAATCACAATATTTTTAGTATTAATGTTAGTTTTGCTATACACTTTTGCTATATTTTTAATGCAAAAGTTGACAGCCTCAAAGAACTGGTTTTTTACAATATAGAATTGAAGGAGATAATTTGTAGAATAAAGTAGCTGGTATCACTTAATTGAAATAAAAATGAATTGCAAGGTGCCATTACTTCCAAAAAATGTAACTAAATCGAAAAGAAAATTTTCTCCTTTATTTAAATTGTAATTTTATTTATTCATTCAAATAAATTCATTCAAATGTCTTGAGGTGTGTAAAGGTTTGGTGGAGAAAGTTGGTTAACTCTTCAAATATTTATTGTGATGGATATTTCAATAGAAATTTGTGAGTAGGCCCTTCTGACTAAAGGGAATTTTAAAATAACAATGTATCCAGCAGTTAAATTTAAAAAAAAAACTCCCTGAAGTTTGGAATATTAATATTACGTTTTCAAAGGATAAAATTTAAGTGGCATCTGCTTAGATATGTAATCAGAAAATCATGGGGAGAACTGATCATTTTCTCTACTTGAGAAAATGAATTCTAAGTAATCAAATACAAGACAATTTTATTTTATTTAAGGGTTGTTGCAGGCAACGTTTCTAACAAATATTTTTTAAAAACCCTCAAGAAAAGTACTACCAAATTTCTGAATTTTTATCACTATGGACTAAATCCCCAATACAATATTCTTCAATCGGTTATCCTTAAATTAGTCCATTTGTAACCCCGTTATGAAAATCTGATTTTCAAAAAAAATTTGTAATACATAAAGCATAATATAGCCATTACAAATCTAATTTCTAATTGAATCATAAGTAACTATAGCAGTTGGTTTGCATAACTTTTTAGACTAAAACATGGCTGCGTAAAGTGTATGCAATCCTCTGCATAAGTAGACGTTAAAATATATGATGGTATATTTACAGATACCGATTTATCCCGCTACACGCGTTAAGAGTGTGATTCTGAAACAAGAAATCATTTGAAAAAGTAGGTTTAATCAGGTTCACCTCTGAAGCGGTTAAGATTCAGGTTCACCTCTGAAGCGGTTAAGATTGAGACCAGCCGAGTCTCCGCCTCCCAACCGAAGATGGCTCCGCCATGTGACGGTTCCGACAACCCGAGCTCCTCAGCGGACTATAAGAGAAAATGGCGCCGACGAACACCGACGGAGGGAGGAGACTCGTTCCCAGGAGGACGAGTACATTATTCCCTTCTGCGCATGCGTTCTCCCCTCCCTTTGTAGTACTGTATTAAAGAGGCATCAAAGTTGCGCTTTCGCTCTAGACTTGTTCATTTAGGACCTGTAAGTCCGTTTTTCTCCCATCCTCGTGTGTAGAGCGAAACATTACTGACTTCCAGCTCTCTACCGGATTTAAGGAGACGAATTCGCCACAATTGTCCCCTCCCCTTTTTACCAACGGCCGCCGGCCCTTCCAGAACCTTCCTCTCCATTAACGTCTTTCCTTGTAAGACACCAAGTCCCGCCAATTGCGCCACCAAGTGTTCCAACGAACAAGTTATGCGTCATCTCTATATCCTACGCTAATGGCGTATTGTGCCGCATTTAGGTACCCCAACAGGCACCAACGCGCCATCCAAATAACCGTTTCCGCAACAACCCTACGAACTTTTTATTTTCACATTGTATCAGCTACACATTTCGCGTAATGCAGTTTCAGAATACGACTCTATCACTAATGGCGGCCTTAACTCTTGCGTATTTGAATATTCACAGAACCCTGTCCTATTTTAGGGGGTATAATAACCACGTGAAACATTGTCGTGTATAGAATTTTGAGTAAATACTTATAATTATTCGTCAGATTGATACTATGAATTGGAAACAATGATGTAATTAAGCGGATATAAATTACTTCAGTGTATTATTTGTGTATATTTATATACAATAAAATAGGTGTATGTATTAAATATACTATTAAAACTGCAGTAATGTCTCGTTATCAAGAGTTTTCTTAGTGTACGGATGCAATCGGCCGAAAAATCACATCCGGACCCTTTTCTATAATTTCCGGAAAACCCCCAAAAGCAACAAAAGCCCATCGCCAATTTTTCCCCCGTAAATTGCCTAAGAAGATCGGCGAACAATAATCGCGCCAAAATGTTATGGATATAATGAAGACTCCATTTTTCCCTTTAACCTACCATCTTATTTGCTACCTCGATTATGGTAAATGAGTATTTTTTGACATCTAAATATACTACGAAAAAGCCGCCTCTCCACTGTTTTCCTATTTTGCATTTTACTGGATCTGTTGGCCAGATAAGTGCCTGAGGGAAACGTTAAGTGAACATGCAACAGGCCGCCATTAAAATGCTCATGGCTTCGCCTCCCTCCCTCCACAATCTTCCGCGCCGCTTTTAAAAGCGTTGGGAATCGAATTCAGAGTCCCCCCCCCTTCGCCCCTCGCCCGCCATTTTCTCTTCCTCCTGGCTTTGGAAGACTTGCCCGCCCACTGTCCGCGAAAGAACCCGTTAAGGACACAATGAATGTTTGGAGAGAGAGAAAAAGTCGGCCATTATTAAACCACGCCATCCGTTACCTCACTCACCCAATCGCTCTCCCGATCTCCGCGAGGCATTTCGGACGGCAATTAAAAAAAGGAAATAAGGGAATAAGCAAATGTTTTTGTCCTGTGGGCGGTGCAGTTGCCAAATCGACCCTCCGGGCTCGCCTCTGTCCGACGATCTCCTCGGTAGGGCGCGGCGTACGCGACGGCGGCGGCAAGAAGAGTGCGCGGAGCGGCCAACGACTCGGCTGGCGACGCAATGAAGGGCGGGAACGAAAGAGGGTGGCGTTTGCTGCGCGCAGCTGCGCTATTCGAGTCTGGCCGTCCCGCCTTCTGACCAGGTTGCCGCAGCACTAGCAGCAGCTCCGGGCGGGGCTGCCTCCGTCGCCCTCCCACCTCTTTCCCCGCCCCCTCATGTCGCTGCTGCTGCTTCAGAGCGCGCCGGGAGCCAGGAGACTACAGGGGAGCGGAATCGTTGGGCACCATTGAAGTCCGTATCTCGATCTCGCTCTCTCCTTTTCCCTCTCGTTCCTTCAGATCTTTCCTGATTCGGTGATAAATAGTAACGTAGGAGAGAACTGGTGGGGAATCTCTTTGTTTGTGTATGTCTCTCTCTCTCTCTCTCTCTCTCTGTGTGTGTGTGTGTGTGTGTGTGTGTGTCATGCTGAGCTTACATTTTACGTAACTCCTGAGAAATGCTGTCAGGCGTGGCCTCATTTTGCTCTCCTCCATTTTCTCTCTCGCGGCTCCCTCTCCCGGGCGGATTGACAAGCTTGAAAAGAGGCGCGGGGTTTCCCAGTACGGCCTTTCGACTTCTTGGCGGACCTTCCCCCTGCTCGGCTCTTTCCTTCTAGCGGGACGGAGCGGTGGCGAACGATCGACCTCCGAGATTGGCAACTGGCATATTTTTACCGCTGAGGTGCAATCACCTCTGAGCCCAATGAGGCATTATCACTAGTGATCGGCAGACCTTTTCTCTCCCCCGTTTCCTGCGTGTGGGCAAGGTCCAGGACTTGGAGGCGTGGACTCAATTTTTAAAAAGGACTAACCGCTGAGGCTTTAGCATTTCAAATGGATGCTGTTGAGCTTGCGGGGCAAGACATGAAATGTCTTTCGCAGCTTATCGATGTGGGGTATAATGCCAGGCAGTCGTCCTGAAGGACCGAGGTGGTTTGGTGATTTCTACCTCTCCTTGACCCAGCATTCTTCGTTTGCTTACGGGATTCTCATCCGGGATCATTTCCTACCCACCCGCCTTCGCTGGCGTACCTCGTGCTTAGGGCGCCCTTTACAGTCTTTCTTTACGGCAGGCGTTTCTTAATCACGCCTCCATTTATTCTAAATGGAAACACGGTGCAAAATCCCAGTGACCTAAAACGGCTGTGAAATAGTATCTATGAGATGCCAGGCTTTGTGTCTTGTTTTTTTTTTTCTTTACTGAATCTCATGACTTATGTTCTTTATAGGTTTGCAAAGAAATCATTCCGAATTTTAAATTGTAGAGAAGTTCGAGGACAATCAAGCTGCAGACGTCCAATGCTTATAACTTAAGTTCAAGCTGTATTATAATTACCATATTTATGATGCACAGTTGTTTCTATACCTTATGCAACTATAATTCTGAAATCCTTTTCAATGATTATTTACTATACATACGTTGAAATTAAGTGTTCTACAATATTGCATCTTACTCTTGAAAATATATTTTATCACAGCACATTGTCTTAAGGTTTTGAAAATAAGGTTTTCCTATAAACTTGTGTTCAGTATTAGATTAGCATGTATGATATACAAGGGTATGTTTTAGCAAACTCCAAATAATGCCTAAATAATGGAAACAGAACTACAGCCTTTGTTAATGATGTGTGTGCATGTGTGTATCTATGTAAGTAATCTGAATAGAAAAGAACCGTATTTGTATTGAGATGCTTTCCTTCATATAATGCAACATTCCTTTTATCATGCATTTTTCTAGTAAAAGCTCAGCAAGTCTTCAGTAAAAATGGCCACCAATAAATCTACATTGGTAAGTTCTTGACTATCTAAAATATGTAAGGATTTTACCATCATGTTTCTTCAGATTTATTATTGGCATCTCTATGCAAAAAGATACATCCACATCTCTCCTACCCAGCATTATTCTGTTAAAATACTCGAATTAAAAATAAGGCATCTCAAAAATATGCATATTCTGGCTCAAAACAAACTTGCTATATTAGTTCACATCTGCATGAGAAAGCATATAATCCAAGTTTATTAAGGAATAGACTTTCAGTAATGTGATTATATACTTAATTTGTTTCTCTTATATTGAAAAGCAACAATTGTGTAAATCATAGGTAAAATCTCCTGTTGATGACTTTGTGCAATGTCCATGCAGTTTTCTTGGCAAGAAAACAGAAGTGGTTTCCCCTGCTGTACTCTTACCATAGATCAGTGGTTCGCAACCTTTTTAATGCCACAACCCCCAACCGGTCGTAAGTCGAGGACTAAACCGGTCGTAAGTCGAGGTCTAAACCGGTCGTAAGTCGAGGACTAAACCGGTCGTAAGTCGAGGACTACCCAACCGGTCGTAAGTCGAGGACTTTCCCTGCCCGGAAGCGCCATGCATGTGTGGTTCCGCTCCCTGCGCCGGCCGAGGCGTAGCTGACAAGCGGCAGAGACGGAGCAGGCCGACCACCAGCTGGCCCAGCTCAAGGGAGGTAAGGCACCCGCCGAAAAAGGGGAAAAAATGGCGGACAGCCTTGCTTGGCGACCCCCGTGAAATGGTCGATCGACCCCAAATGGGGTCGCGACCCATAGGTTGAGAACCGCTGCCATAGATATTTGTTTGACTTCCCAGTCTAGCCTACAGCCCAGGAGGTTTCTCATCCAAGTATTAAGGCCTGATTCTGCTTAGTTTCTGAGACTAAATAAGGTCAGCCAAGCATTGTTATATGCTGATTTGTGTAAGTTATTATACAGGCTATAAAACTAAAGGAACAGATGCAAAACTAACCAAGTTAATGTAAAACATCTTGATTTAAATAAATTTGTGTATCAGAATTTTTTGCTGAGATTGGGGATAGAAGAAAAGAATCAGGTTCTTGCTATTTAGTTTAGTTTCAAACCTGAGCACAGTTCCTGGGACTGTATCTCCTTTTTTATCTCCTAAGAATTAGATCATGGGAAAATGATGTATTAGAAGAGTGAGCATCACTGATGAGAATCAGTGGGCAAGGTCTATTAGCTGGTAAAGGAGAATATTTGTAGCTCACGGTTGAAATGAGGGGTCTTTGGTGCTCTTTGAACTTGGTTGTTTTTTGCAGACATTTCATTAGCTAAATTAGGTAACATCACTACTAGTGAAGAGGTGAGGTTTGCTCTCAATTTAAATTCTAGTGGCTTACTCTGTCCATGTTTCCTGTAGTCTTAGACGTTCCGTTTGTTGGGCTGTTTACTGTTGGCTTGTTTGGCAGTTCCTTGATTGGGGTATTGTTTGTTTGATTGTTGATCTGATATTAATCTTTGAGTTAATTTATGTTCCTCTGTATGTTCCTCTGGGTGCTGCTTGCTGATGGGGAGATGTCAGTCTTTTGGTCCCCTTTTCGGCTTGTTGATAGTCTCTTTTGCATAGTATGTAGATATTGTTTATATCTACGTATCTACTGATCGCTAATTTGTCAGCACCAGGCTTCTAGAAATTCCCTAGCGTTTTTGAGTTTGGCTTGGTTTAGGATGGTCACAGTTAAGTTTTGATAACCTATTTTTATCAAAAAGTGCCTGACATTCAACCCAATACAGCACAATGAACAGAAATTTAAAAGGAATAACAGTGCCCTACATCAAGAACATCTCAGAAACCACTAACATACTACTACAACTCCATGGAATCAACGTAGCACACAAGCCAACTCAAGCCCTTCAAAATATCCTAACTAAATCAAAAGACCCAGCAGCCTCAGAAGAAAAAATAAGAGTCAGCTATAACATAGACTGTAATGACTGCAACAGCTACTACAGACAAAGAGGCAGAAAACTAGCAGAACGCATCCATGAACATCAACTAGCAGTCAGAAGACATGATTAAAACTCCTTAATTTCACAACAGATTTAACATAGGTTCAACTGGGAAACTGACCATTCTAGAACAAGCTACGGCCATAAACACTAAAGAATTTCTAGAAGTCTGGCATGCTGACAAATTAGCCATCAATAGACACATAAACAGTATCTGTATACTATGCAAAAGAGACAATCAACAAGCCAAAAAGGCTAAAATACCTTCCCATCAGTAATCAACATCCAGAGGAACATAGATTAACTCAAGATTAACAACAAAGCAACAATCAGGTAAACAATACCCTAATCAAGGAACTGCCAAATGAGCCAACAGTAAAGAGCCCAACCAAAGACCCCCTCACAAACATAGACAGGGCAAGCCACACTCCTTAACTATCACTGATGATGTTGGGTAATGAAACATCTGCAAGAAAACAACCAAGTTTAAAGATTAGCAAGGACTTCTCTATTAGCTGATTCTTAGAATTTGTTCCAGTATGAATTTCCTTTGATTTGAAGGGCTTTAATCCCAGAAAAATATGAATAGGGCTGTAGTTGTCATGGGCAAATCCCCATTAAAACAGTGAAACTTAATTCTTCATTGAATTGTTTAGTTTGTTGGGTGGGAGCTTGCACTAAAAGGATAAAGCAAGTTTAGTCATTTCAGAATCCATATCAGTAGAATATAGTATATCCTTATTAGTGTCTTTAGTATAATATTGCTATCTGTTTCTAGAGAAAAGTTGTTTCAGATGTAGAAGAAGGAAATACAGATTTTTTTAAGGCTGACTTTGCATCTACTTTCTTAAAAAGCCATGCTTTGGCCAATAATTTTAGAACACCTTTAGAACTAGTATCCGTAAAAATGCTGTTGTTTATATTAGAGAAAAATATATTGATTCTGGTGGCAGTAAGTATTTCCCACAAACTCTATGATGTACATCTTCTATTTTTATACGTAGCCTAGAAGATGGGATGATTTTATTAGTAATCTTGTATATTCACTAGTACATCAACTAAGTGAAAATAGGATTGTGCTTTTGTATGAAGAATAGAAACCTATCTTAGTCTAAAAAAGACAGCACTAATGTTGCCTCTAAATCTTTGCCAAAAGTGCAAATACTGAATGTCACTTTGACATACTAGTTTAATTTGATATAATAATAATAATAATAATAATAATAATAAAAGGTTGGAGGGACCTTGAAGGTCATCTAGTCCAACCCCCTGCTCAGGCTGGAAACCCTATACCATTTCGGACAAATGGCTGTCCAGTCTCTTCTTAAAAACTTCCAGTGTTGGAGCATTCACCGCTTCTGGAGGCAGGTTGTTCCACTGGTTAATTGTTCTCACTGTCAGGAAGTTTCTCCTTAGTTCTAGATTTGAATGAATATAGAATTAAATATAATTTTATACATACAGATGAATTCTGAAACATGACTGGAAATAACTGTTTTTGGACTGGAAATGTAGTTGTATATAGAGGTGTTGGGAAAATATAGTAAAATGTCATGTGTGTGTATTTGTACTTTAACTTTTGAAATTTTTTTGTGGTATATTCCCAAGCTTTTAAGTAGATTGTAGAAATGAACTAGTAGTTTGACCTTTAGTGTTTGTCAATTTTAAGACATTGCTTATTTAGTCTATCTAGCATATAATGCTAGATCATTTTTATGCAGACTGTAAATATACCCAACATAATATCCCAGTCATTAGGTATTACCATTTATGCAAAAAGAAGATATCAAGATTTTTATTAATTGTGACTTTCTGTTTATCTTGTAATGATTAATTTTTCTGGGTGCTGCAAGCCAGTATCAGGCACCACTGGTCCTTTGCATTTAATCTTTTTACCTCCCCTCAAACTTCTGTGATACTTAATGTAGTTAGTCCTCAACTTACAACAGTTTGTTTAGTGACCATTCAAAGTTACAATGGCACTGAAAAAAGCGACTTATGACCATTTTTCACACTTAATGATCGTTGCAGTATCCCCATGGTCACATGATTTATATTTAGATCGTTGACAACTGATTCATATTTAGGAGAGTTGCAGTGTCCCAGAGTTATGACATCTTTTGCAACCTTCAGACAAACTAAGTCAATAGGGAATCCAGATTCACTTAACAACCGTGTTGCTAATTTAACAACTGTGGTGATTCACTTAACAAATGTGGCAAGAAAAGTCATAAAATGGGACAAAACTCACTTAACAAATTTCTCACTTAGCAACATAAATTCTGGGCTCAATTGTGGTTGTAAATCGAGGATTACCTGTATTATAAAATATATTTTTTGAGATTGCAATCCCTAACTTTGCTTAATTGAAAATAAACAGTCCTAGGATATCAATATCACAATCCAGAGATACAGAATTGTATTCCATGTAGGATAGATAAAATTTCTATTATAAAATAGCAAGGTAACTTGGATAAAGAATAAATTCCAATTTTTTCAAAATTGTCATCCCATCAAAGCAGCAATCACTTTTTTTCATTTATATTTTTTAGAAATGTTGATCACTCATTTATACATAATTCTGGTAGTATTAGTGAATAAAGTATTTAGCATTAGCCTAAATTGCTCAGAATCTAAAGAAACTATCATATTGATTTCAAAACATTTTGATACTCTTCATCTCCAAAAGATGTCATAAGAACACAATTCTAAAGAAAAGGTATGGCCCCATATTGAAGTTCATGAAACTTGAAATTGGGAGACCTTGGTATTGTTTCTCTTAATCAGATATTTCTCATATATTTGTGAGGCTTAGTGTGGCCCCCCCTATTGTCACTGTATTACCTATTTTGAACTATCCATTATGGTTTGCATCCAAAATTGTAACCAGGCTCTGCATTTATTTCTAATAGAACTGCAACTACTTCTAACATTACAATAATAAACTGAACAATGTATAGACAAATTATAGACAATAACATCTTACCCAATTGTGTTTATTGATGTTGGAATGCTTTGAGGATGATGTGGATGTAATAATTTGCTATCTAATAATAATTGGCTGCTAAATGCTTTTCTATGGAATTTAAAGCCATTTTCAGCCTTTAAACTTCTTGAGTTTGATTAAATAAGTTTATTAGTGCTAGCATTGCTGATACAAAAGATGTTTGTATTAGTTAAGAAGTTTCAACTATGTTAAGAACTGCTCTTGAATGTATATCTTCAATGTCTAATAAGAGTTGAAATGATACATGTATGTAATTATAAATGTTCATACTAGCAACTGAAAGCTTCTAAACTGCTTTGGACTATTGATGATTGCTATTAACATTGCAATCTATGTTTCCTTATGGATGCTAACTCAGGGAGTTTCTCTTCTCTTTCTAGTATTTACCCCAAATTTGTTTGGTTTGCCTTCTGTTAGACAAGTTTTTTTTTTAATACTAATCCATAAAAATGGAATGACTAACAGTAATTCTGAATAAAATGTTTAGGATGTTGGAATAAGAGAGGGATAAGAAATGCACAGACTATAGGCTCTTTTTAAAAATAAATTTAGGTCTTGCTGAAAAGAGTATAAAAGTTTCTCCTCAATTGAAATAAAGGTGCAGCATGGGTATTAAATGTATGTGCAAATGATTTTGTTTTATAGCATAAAATTGGGAAAAAACAGAATGGCAAGGGTAAAAAAGTTGAAGAAGCAGAACCTGAAGAATTTGTTGTAGAAAAAGTCCTGGATCGACGTGTAGTTAATGGCAAGGTGGAGTACTTCTTAAAATGGAAGGGATTTACTGAGTAAGGAATTTCATACAATTTTTTTTCTAAAATGTTTTCAATATCAGTGTTAAATTGAAGAATTCTGCAAAGATATATGAAAAGATTGCTATCACCAATTTCAGGAAAAGTCAAGTTCATATACTCTGAACTTCTGGATTCAGCTCCAATATGGATGGAAAATAGGCAGGGTATTTTTCAATATAAAACTGGCTTCCCTTCTTAATATTGATAGAGTTGTGGTAAATGCTGCATTTTCTACTGGATTGTGCTTGAGTTGTATAGCCTATGAGTAATCTGTCTCCTGTGGAAGTAGCAACATACAGTGCAATCCTAAACGTGTTTGCCAAGCACTCAGCATCATTTTATTCAAAGGATTTATTCTCTGTACTGTTAAAATTTTAATATTTCTTCCAGGAATACTCTTCAGCTGTAGGGAAAAAGGCAGACAGCTTGTTAAACATGTTAATACTCAAATTATCAGTAATGACCCATTCGATTTTGGAAATTAAAAAATGAGTTCATGCTATCAAAGTATAACATTTATTTATGGCACTTAAATTTACTCAGATCAGCAGGGAGAGTGTTTAATAATTAACATTTTTTTTTAAATTTTCCTTCTGTTGATTGTAAATGCTTTATAGTATTGGGTTACAATGCACTGTAACATTTCAAGAAAAGAAAACAAACATCCTAGGATTCATTTTTCCACTTACTAATTATCTCGGGTTGTTATTTTGAGTGTATTCTACAAGCCACATGTCATAACGTTGCATTGTTCAGTTTGTAGCAGGGTTGAGCAACATTTTGGTAACCGGGTGACCTCAATTTATATTTTTGAATGAATTGAAGACCATGTTGTTAATGCTATGTTATATTATTTTTTCCCTGGATTTCTAGGTAAAATCTATTTTTTTTCACATTTTTTCCCCAAACTTTTTGGGGGATTAGGATGTCAGAATCTGGAAGATTGCCATTGTCAAGTTTTAGCAATAATAGTTGACTGCAAAATCACCGGCTGGGAACTGCATGTGACATTCTATAATATAGTTAATACATTTTGTCTGAAAAAATTATCCAGTATAATTTCAACTTGATTTAGCTACTCTAGCAACTAGTCTACAGAAATGGATTTTGAAAACAAATTGACACCTGAACTGTTTTAGGAATTAAGCAGATAATTTGGATTTCATGTGTAACTATGACTTGTGGACCTTCAGGTTTAGCCCTGATAACAGGTTTTTATTTTTTGTTCTTGTATTTTTACCAAATTCTTTTTTTTAGTGCTGATAACACATGGGAGCCTGAAGAAAATTTGGATTGTCCAGAGTTAATAGAAGCTTTTCTGAATTCTCAGAAAGCTGGTAAAGAAAAAACAGAAGGTACCAAAAGAAAATCCCTTTCAGATAGTGAATCTGAGGACAGCAAATCAAAGAAAAAGAGGGATTCTGTAAGTTAATGAAAACATTAAACAGACATTCAGATATGAATAGAGAAGGCAAGGGAGGACCATATACACCAAGAACAGTTATGTCTTAGCTCCTTGTTAAAGGCTCAATTTTCATGGATCATTCCTAACATATATTACAGGCATAATGTGCTTCTACTTTACAAATTGAATCCTCTTTTACATACACATATGCCAGATCCCTCTGCATGGTCCCAGTTTCTTCAGCAATTCTGCTTCTGAAGATACTTTATTACAGTTACTTACTGTCATTTCATTCCTGTGAAATTTCTTAGGAAAGGATTTGAAACAAGGATATCTCAGTCCTAGAATGGTAGGGGAAATGTAATATTGAACTTCTTCTCCAAAAGATGACAATAAGAAAAATCCTGGTCAACAGGATGCTTAAAACGTGGCATAGGAGCTGCAGCAGATTGCAAGTCACCTTTGAGAAATACATGTGGTCCACAGGCCAGCTCTAACTTATACTGTTCTGAATGTATTGAGAGATCATATGCTGATTTTCTTTCCCCATAATCAGAAGATAATGGAAGGATTTACAATTCTCTAAATATTTATTCCAACAGGTTGATAAACCCAGGGGATTTGCACGAGGTCTTGATCCTGAACGAATAATTGGAGCTACAGATAGCAGTGGAGAACTTATGTTTCTTATGAAATGGTAAGCAATAGATTAGAATGTTTAGATTACAATATGATTTCTATTAAACTTAAGAAATATTATTTTTTCTGCTACTACAAACTAGTTAATAACGTTTAAGGGATTTTGTTAGGTTACTTTTTCTTTTTTAATGTTGATAAATCATACCATACTATTTAAGAAGTCAGAAAACCTATTATAACTTTATCACAGGTAAACAATCTGACTTGTAATATTAATATATCTGACCACAGTTATTAAAATTATTTTGTTATTCTATAAGGCATAAAAGTGCGTGAATGTACACAACAGCCTAATTTCTTTCTGCTTGTTTTTGGGAGCACATTATACTGACTTTGTAGTGATTAATTCTCATTAGATCCTTAAAATTTGGTACCTGTATTCATAAATTACCATTTCAATCCTATTGATTTAGAATCTAGTCATAGTTAGCTACCAGCCATCCTTATCACAAACAGATTTTGAATGATTAGAGTAGGAATTCTTAAAACTTCTGTAATTCTGTTACTTAATATGAATAATATCAGAACTGAGATATAATCAAAGGAGATGCTTTGAAATATATAAAAATGAAATAATTGAGGCAGCTACATCTTTTTTGGATTATAGAGTTGATATAAAAAGACATGGCTGTTTTTCATTATTCAAAGACATGTTTCATAGGAGCTGTTGTGCATTTCAAAGCATCTCTTTTGAAACATGAAAACTCATATACATTTAAATCTGCTTGCCTGAAAAAGAATGTTAATCCATGCTTTGATTGGCTGGTTGGTTGGTTCCAACTTTTAACAACCACATAGATAATTTGAAATAGAAGTGCACAGGGATAAACTATGTGCAGATAGATGTGAGTAGTTATGATTAAGATTAGCAAGCCAGAGAAACAAGTGGAGATTTTAACTTCATGGCAGTTTAGCCATGATTAGAGAGAGTTCTACCTAAAGAAATGAAAAACTGTTCCATATAGTATAATTCTATCTTATAATACATGATTTATATGTAATTTATACATATGCTTTGTTAAAATGAAGTATTAACTAGACCACAAAGCTTAGGGATAATAGTGAATTATAAATGTCATAAATGATGCTAATGATGTCAAGGCTAAAGGGGAAGGATTGTTGTATATTGCCCAGTCACTTTGTGAGATGGACAGCTATACAAATTTGTTAAATAAATAAATTGTAAAAACTAATAATAGGACACAAACAGGGCTATGTGAGTCAAGGATATCTTCAATTGACATTAGAAATAGTTTTTAATATATTAATTGGACATTCTTTCTTAAAACAGGAAAGACTCAGATGAAGCTGACCTGGTATTAGCTAAAGAAGCTAATGTGAAATGTCCTCAGATTGTAATTGCTTTTTATGAAGAACGATTAACTTGGCATTCTTGCCCAGAGGATGAAGCACAATAATTGTTTGGATTCTCTCCTTCCTTCCCTCCCTTTTCTTAATATATGTATGATATTTGTTTTAACAAAAGTGGAAAACTCCTACTGAGTCCTATTAAGATACGTATGGTTACCTTAAAAGTAATATGTTTTACATAAAGAAGAAAGCAAAAGTGCTATTCACTGTTTTATGATAAGAAAACATTTGATACTGCTTTCTGCATATTAGATCAAATGTTTTATAAAATTTGGTAGTTAATAGTGATTTTAATGGCAATTTACTCAGATTTACAAGTGTTTTTAGCTCTATATACAACAAATGTGCATGCATTTTTTTCTGCCATATAGTCTGTAAAATCATTTAGTATTTGTGGCAAATTGGTTCAAAGGGGACCAGGTGAAAACTTTGTTTCAATTTTAAAGTGCATATTGTATATTATTTTAATGTAGATACTGCTGAAAAGCTACCAATAAAATAGTTTCATATTCTTGTGCTTTCTTTACCAAACTGCAGGAAGCTAAGAGATTTTGAAAGCTATTTTGGTATGGAAAATATCCATTAAAGGATAGAGACAGAGTTTTGTTTTGTGCAAAACAAAAACAAAACCATTTTAACTAGGCAGGCAGTTACATGAAATTTATAGTTTTCTCCCATAGATGTTTATAAGTTGTTTCTCAGTATTAGCAAAATAAGAAAACGAACATAAAAAACATGTGTGGTACATTGAATATTTAATTTTTAAGACTAATTTGCAGGCTTGGTAATCACAATTATAGTACTCAGAATATATGGCTGAGTAATCAAATCCTGACTTAATCCCTTTAAACCCTATATCTGATGCTTTACAAATTAATAAATTATTGGTGTCTTAGTCTTGATTTGTTTAGGAACTATTATCCCTAATCCCAATATACATTTCAAATAAAATTATTTTAATAGTTTACTTGATGGATTTATGTAGATAAATTGATGCATGGAACTGCAAAAAAGAGGACTTGGAGTGTATGTGTGTGTGTGTGTGTGTGTGTGTATAAAATCATATATTATATAGTAAATTGTTAAATCACAATTTGATCATCCAAATAGGGTTGCTATATGTGTGATTAAGTTTTAAATTCAAGTGCATGCAAATAACTACATTATTTCATGCAAGTTTTTTGGTGTGCCAAGAAAAAAAACGGAGGCAACTGCCCTTATATTTTTGCTGTCTGTACTGATTGTACCAGCAATACTTCTTGAGGCAAAAGGCAATGTAATGTACTCTATGGAACACATTTATCAACAATATCACTCATCTCCTATTTTTTGTATGTCTGTTTATGGATTCATTTGGCTTTGATTTTATTATGTTTGGGCGAGCAATAAGGAATCTTGTCAGGTATGACTTAATTGTCATTATTTGGTTTCTAATATAGTTCAGTGATTCCGTTTATATGCTGGATTAATAGAATGGATTATTGAAATTCGCCATAATAAGTTTTGATTTTAAAAATCAACGTAACAATTCATCTCATTTCTGAGAATTACTGTAAAAATAAATATGGCACCACATTGAAAAAAACCCTAGAGTTCTAAACATGAAGTCAGTTCACTGCCTTTCAATAAACCTATATCCTGATACATGTTGAGGTTTCTTTCATTTTTTTTTGTTTTGCTGATTTCTTCTATTTTGTTCAGTATTTGTATTTCTGCTTACGTTTTTGTCAAAATTTTATTAAAGATTTTATTTATATAGTAACATACATATCTCCTACATCCATATTCAATGTATCAAAAACAGTACTGTAAAAATCATATTAAAAATACAAGTCAAAATAGTCAAGAAAATGGTAAGAGAACACATATCCACTCTGGACGAATTAAAATCAACAGGTCTAGATGGATTACATGCCAGGGTTCTGAAGGAGCTGGCAGACGCGATCTCAGAACCACTGAACGAAATCTTTCAAAGATCTTGGAACACTGGGAACTACCAGAGGACTAGAGAGAAGAGCTGACATGGTTCCCATCTTCAAAAAAGGATTGAGGAAACTATAGACCTATCAGCCTGGGGAGAGTCTGGTAAAGATAAGCAATGAATTTGTAAACACCTAAAGGCAAGCAAAGTTATAACCAAAAATCAACATGGGTTTGTCAAAAATAGATCATGCCAGACAAATCTTGTTGCAATTTTTGGCAAAGTAGCTAAATTAGTGGACCAGTGAAATGATGTGGACATAATTTACTTAGGCATTTGTTAAAGTAGACCACAACCTACTGCTTGGTAAGAAAAAAATGTGGGTTAGACAACATCACCAACAGATGGATTTGTACTGGCTGATCAACCACATTCAATGTGTAGTCCTTAATGAAACTACATCTACTTGAAAGGAAGTATGCAGTGGGTTACCTCAAGGTTCTGTCTTAGGCCTAGTACTCAACATCTTCATAAATGATTTAGATGGGATAAAAGGGGGATTCAAGTTTGCAGATGACACCCAGCTGGTAGGAATAGCCAACACTTTAGAAGATAGGCTCAAGATTGAAAAGAATCTTGATAAACACTGGGACCTATCCAAAAATGAAATTCAATAGTGAGAAAAATAAGACTTTACACTCAGAAAAGAAAAAGTAAGTGCCAAGTACAGAATAAGTGGTACCTGATTCAATAGCAGTAACTAAGGGATCTAGAATCTTTGTAAGTGAACCAACACTAAATAAGAGCCAGCAGTGCTGCAGCCACCAAAAAAGCCAACACAGTCTTAGGCTGCATTAATAGAGGGATAGACTAAAGATCAAAGGAAGTGCTAGTACTGCTTTATAATGCCTTGCTAAGATCACAGTTGGAATATTGCATCCAGTTTTGGTTGCTATGATAAGATGTTGAGACTAGAAATGCCAAAAAGAGCAAAAAAATAATTAGGGAGACTAAAATCAATAGTTGCAGGAATTGGGCATCTCTAGTCTAATGAAAAGGACTATGGGTGACATGATACCGTAATAGTCTTCCAATATTTAAGGCATTGCCATGAAGAACACAGGATCAACCAATTTTCCAAAACAACGGAAGGAAAGGCAAGAAGCAAAGAATGGAAATTAATCAGGGAGAGATCCAACCTAGAAATAAGGAAAAATTTCCTGACATTTAGAACAATCAGTGGGACATCAGAAGTTGTGAATGCTCCATCACTGGAGATTTTGCCAGCACTATTGAGCAACACGTCCTGGACAGTTTCTAAAGCTAATGCATGGTATATAGTAATGTCACCTAAAATGCAATGGCACAAGAGTTCACCATTTGGTCAGGATGCCATATATAAGTATGTTTTTGAAGAGCACAGGGAAGCTTTAATTAGTCTATGTTTAATGGACTGATCATCAGTAGGCACGCACTAACCAGAGCATAGTACAACTGCCACTCAAGCACCTGCATTAGTTTTCTATTATATTCCATGTGCAATTTAAAGTACTGCTTTTAACTTTTAATGCCCTGCATGGCTTGACATTAAACATTTTCTCACTCAACTTTTATCATGGTGAAATTTTTAATTAAAAATTATTAAAAATTATTTAAGGGTGGGCTTGAGTTGTATAATGTTATCTTCTGTTTTTTGATTGGTGGGTTTTTTAATTTTATCTACGCTTCTATTATTACTGTTCTGTAAAAATAAACCCACTGAGAATGTCTTGATTATGATGGATAAGAGAACTGAATAAAAATTTAATGAAGAATAGAAGTTAGTATTGTTTTATAATGCCTTGGATGTTGATTGAATAAAAAAGTGAGTAATCAATGTAAAAGAATTACATGAAGGGATTTGATCATGTAGAAAGAATGAATAAGCACAGAGTAAATATATGAAGGAAGAATGAACTGTCAAACAGAAGGGGAGGACCTAGAAAGTTGTAGGCTGATGAAATCCTGAAAAAAAACACTATAAAAGGTTTAAAGAACAAAAGGCAATATATGAAAGAGTGTATGGATGCGTGGAATTGAGGAAGAGAAATATATTAATGTGTTATCTCGTGCTTTTAATTTCTTCACTTTAATACAGGTAGGTCATGATTAGTGTGAGTTTAGATAAAGCAATATTCGGTTTAGTGTGAATTGTACATTGATACTAGATTGTATTTAAAATGAACCAAAATTCAGGTTCAATATGAGTTTAGCAAGTCGGCAATCAAGATTAGCACATGGGAAGTTGCTGTTGAGGTTTACATGCTGCTAATTTTTGTATATGCAAAATGGAAAAAACGAAGATTCCATCAGAAGAAAACAGCATAAGTTTAAAAATAGGCTCTTTACATTAGAAGAAACAACAAAAAATGTTGAAGATCTATAGTAGAATTTTTTTGGTTTTTATTTTACTTTCTATAACTAATTTGTGACTTTATTAACATAAATTTAAAAGTATATTTTTTTATCCTTTACTGTAATATTTCATACAAAAAATTATGTTTAAAACTTTTTATTACCCATTTCCCTCAAGTGGGAGCCAATCGTTATATTGCTGAATAATGCAAATTGGAATAATGCAACCATTTTGTGGGATTCATTAATAATAATTAATTAAGACCCTACTGTATTTCTCTCACTTCTACATTTTGCATAATACTTATATTAAAAAATGAGTAGCTTGATGGATATGTATAAATGTACAATAGCTACCTCACTTTAAGTCCTAATTTGAGGTCATTTGCATGCAAGTTTTAAAAGTATGATCCCAAAACTTAGGAAAAATCCACCCCATCTCAGGAGTGTGAGAATTTCCAACATAGTTCTAGTTTCTGTTTTCTTAACAAATGCCAATCTATGTCAGCAATTGTCCTTTTATCTTATGGCTAAGTTTTCTCAAAGCTTTTGATATGACATTTTGTCAAAGGTTTCTCAACATTCCTAATGCATAGTATTATATTATGTCACCCACTTTAACGTATTTGTTAACATAATCAAAAGAGGATGCAAGGGCTCAGCGGTTAAAGATCCTGAACTTGGCTGACAGCCCAAGTTCGAAATCTAGGACACACTTTTTAAACTTTTTAAATTAAATTAAATTTTAATTTGGTTGCTTGGTATATAATCTAAACAGAATGGAATTGAAGAATGTTGACTTGGATGCTTATTTCTTTTAGAAAAATGCTGTACTTGCATGTTTGGGGGTACCTTTTAGCAAAAATACAGGATATGATGTAAAGCCCATAGAAAATATATGATTTCAAAATCTTATTTTATTTTTCTTTTATTTATATATCAAATTTGGAGACCGCCCATCTTGCTCGCAAAGCATACGAGTATAAATGTTAGTTCAGTAATCTTAATATACTTGCTGAAACAAAAGGCAAAAGAATATGACTGACCTGCTGTTTCTGTGAGCAGCATTGATTATTCAGTAGATGGCAGTCTTCACTGGTGTGATAAAAACAATTATTGCAAGTTTGTATGATTGCAGTTCTTATTCTTCAACATTTATTTGTCATTGACTGGGTCATGTGGTATGATAGATGAGCGTGGTTACTGGTTCTGTGTATTGTGGAAATACAACCAATATGATTAGTTTACACAGCTGGCATATTAAATTAATTCAGTAAACCATGATTTAGTTAATCATGATTGACTCACTTGGAATTTCATTATGCTTTCTAATCATTCCGCAGAACTGTTATATTTTTTTTATAAAAAAAAAAATTCTAAGGATACTGTTGTGCTGTTGTGATGACTAACTGAATTGCTTCAAAAACTATTCAAGTTATGATGAATAGTGTTTTTAATCTGATGCTTTAGCTGTGGACTAAACATCTGAGGATTTCTATCTTGATTTTATACATTTCTATTCTGCTTTATCAAATGTTCAAGGTAGCATAAACTTATCTCATCCCAGCCCATTTTATTACTAATCCTTAATCTAACCTTAGCTATACATTTTGCCATTGTTCTTCTCAAAATAGACTGACATGGTTACAATTCTAGGACACATCCAAACGTAAATGCTGAAATACACAGGTTCCTTCACCCCCATCTTTAGTTTGCAAACTACACTCTATTGTAGTGTATTTGAATATATGATTATTATCTCAACTGGTATGTGAGAGCTAACTTTCAAAGTATGAAAACATTTTTGTTTTCATGAATTACCTTATTAGTTCATTCTCTTCTGGCAAACCAAAGACCATGTGAAATGTCTCAAGTTGAATTATCTCCCATGAAAAGGTCAAGCTGCAAGAGATTAAAGAGGATGTGATAGAGGATGTGGTAAAGAGGTAGAAATAATTCAAAGGAGAAGTTATGGCCTAAAGAGGTAATGGGGAATAGTTTCATTAGTTTCCATTCAGTGAAATAATGTTTTGTGACTGGTTGCATCAGCATGGCATTCAACTCATGAATATAGCAGTCCCAATCCCAATTTCAACTAGGAAACAAGCATAAAATCTACATTTAAACGCACCCATCAGCGTACAAAAGTTGTCTAGCTCTACTTTAGCAGGATGTGATATAAAATATTCATACTATTTGTAATAAAAGGAAGCTTTAGTATCTTAACAGAACTTTTAGAATGGAAAATTGAGATACATATTTTCATTGTTGTTGTTGTTGTTGTTATTATTATTATTATTATTATTATTATTATATTCATTCAAGGCTATAGGA